GAAAATTAAACCTTATTTTCAATAAGCAATCCTGAAAAATATTTGGGGGTGCTTAACTTTTTTCCAGGTGTATATAAAGTAGCATCTTAAATAAGAAACAAAAAATTGCTATTACATTGTACAGGTTTGAGAACTGAAAACAGACAGCTCATTATAAAAGGTTAAATACTTATAACATCACTTTCACAAGTCCCTAAATCCAGTATGACAATTTGCTGAAATTCTTATTTTGTTTCTTTCTAAGTTGTCACATTGTAAACAACCAACCTTAAAACAATAAACATATTTTTTGTACTGATTGATTTTATATGAAAACAAAACAATTATCTATGTGTATGACAAAGATGTTAGATTTCAAACATTGCAGCTTTTTGATAGTGATACACTGGTCATAAGAAGACAATTGTTTTCTGCTTTATATTTTCATAACCTTCCAAATCTGTATCACTGTTGTGAAAGCAACAGATGCTATAAAAAATTTAATTCATAGCCACTTAGTAAAAACAATACAAAAAGACTGATGTGAATATTTGAAAGGTTATGAAACAATAAATTTGTTAATAATAGTTTGATTTCAAATAATGTCTTTGCTCTGTCAAAATTTCAATTTGTTAAACAGTATTCTAGTATTTTTGTGTAAATTGAATAAACCTCATGTCAAATATAGCTTAAAGCTTGTTTCACTTTATGAGAAACTTCCAAATGGATAATCCAGAAAACTAAGACACCTCATAAATAGGTAAAAAGCAGACCTGAAATTGGCATTGTTGCACTATTCAGAACTATTCCATGCTATAAAGTAGACCTGAAATCAACAATGCTGTACTATTCAAAAACTACTTCATGCATAAAAGTAATTTATAAACTGACAAAGCATTTGTTTAGTGTTTTTGGAATAATAAAACAGTTTTGAAAATTTGTATGGTCTGTTGTGATCTGTTTTACTTTAATAGGAAAATTACTAACAGTTAAACTCATTCACACTTGCAAATATAGCATCTCTTCTCATGGTATTTTCATGTGGATGTTCTTCTAGAAAAGCAAATGTATATAAAGTGTCAATTGCCTGTGTAATCATGTGTTATGTTTTTTGATTGCTAGTTTTAAACATGATGTCATAAATTTTAGAAAGAGCAGCAATACAACATAAAAATTTCAACCATTGCCTCTTCTCTTAATGCATCCAATACAAAACAAGTGTACAAACAGATTGACTAATTTCAATCAAAATTTGTACCAGAAAAGCAAGCATACTTATCACTGGCAGATAATTACATAATGATGATAATTAACTAAATTGGCACAAAAGTTAGGTTTGAACAGTTTACATTTTTAATGAAACCATTTGTATAAACTCAGATCATTCTTAAAAAAAAAAAAAAACTCATATTCTCATCTAATTTTTGTGCAGTATTTTGGTTCCATTGTCTACTTTGAAATGTTTGCAATTTGCTAACAATTAACTGACTATAAACAAAGTTCATATTAATGATAATACTGTATACTCTACTAAAATAAATAACAAATGAAGAAAGTATTTAAAATATATCTTTCTAACCACTGAACATCCAATTTGTTTCATACATTAGTGTATTTGGTTAAACATTTCAGATCACAATATTTGATAGCTATTTACTGTTTCTTACATTTTGCACTAAAGGTAATGCAGTAATTACTCATACCTAACATTATTTAATTTCTGTAGTGCATATTGGTGTATAAAAGACATTTTAATACTAGAAATAAATGACCTTATAACACCAAACTGTTGTTTTTCTTTAATTGGACACTCAACGTTTCGCTTTACATACCTAACATTGTTTTCCACTCAGGTATGCTCTCTCTCTTTCTCAGGCACATGCATGCACTCACTCACACACTAACTAATGTAACACCATGATAAAACCTGAATAAAATGGTTATAGCTGCTGTAAGGGAAAGAGAAATAGATAGTAAATGCTTTGTCCAAATGACCTCCAAGAAATCCTCCAACAGCACAATGCTAAAATCTGAGGTTCAATTCCTTAAAGTGAACAGAGCAGATAGCCCAATGTGGCTTAGCTCTAGAACAATCAAACAATACCTTCAACAACAAAGAAAGTCTGGCAGAAATCATTCAATATGTATTTCTCTTTCTCTTACACTAATTCTACCATCTCTTTAAACTTTTATAAAAAGCAGAGTTACTAGTTCACATGGTTAGAGTCATTTAAACATGCATATCATTAATAGGATTCCTACTTCTATTCAGAATGTTAAAGAATCAAACAGCATATGATTAATAGCAGAAGATAAAATTTGTAGTTGATAGCATTTGTTGTGAAAAATCTTGTCATTGCCCTCAGCCAGTGTTTCTCAGACAAATTTGCCAGCTGACTCCTGCGTCTGGGCTTTGGTCGTCATGACCCCCATAATCTATACAAAAAAGTTATTGATGTCTGTTGGTACAGTTCATAACAAAGGTGCACAACAAAGAGACTCAGCACAGACAGCTTGTAACCCCCTGGAAATATATTTGGGAAACACTGCTCTAGGCAGATCATATTTTAATAGCACATGAATAGCTAACTTTTACTCAGTTTCTAAATATATTACTATAAAACGTTTGGCATGTTTATTACACTTGTGCCAAAATTTTAGATTTTTCAAGAATATAAAAGAGGTTAATTTGCATTACTTCTATGAAAATTACAACAAAAACAGTGCTTATAATAATGAGCAAATATTTTGAACAAAGTTTACCAGAGACATGGAGGAATTTTTTTATCTTATCATTTCTCTTGTAAATAGCTTAAGTCTCAATAAAATGAGAGATGTAAACTTACTATTCAATTTAGAAATATATAATTCATTTCAAGCTCCTTTTGAACTAAGGCATATTCTTTATTACTACAAGAAACTCATAACTTAAGTGACTTCACAAATGATCATTCAAATAAATATGACTTCTTCATACTTCAATACCAATATAATTTCGGAAACAGTTTCAAGCATCAGCAAATGGGATTAGTATTGTGACTGTTCATCCTCCTAAAGTAATTAATAAATTAGATTCACCTATTTTCATATATATATGAAATTAGATTTTAATAAAACGATATTTACTATTTTGAAAATATAACAATATCTAGCAAATGTGTTCTTTAAAACTTTATTAGTGTACTCATCACACATAAATTATAGCCTAAAAATATAATTCTGGCTATAGTTTGCACAGTGTTTTGTATCCTGTTTTAGAAAGTTTAAAAAGTAGTTATGCAGTAAATGTTATAGCAAAATCTGCACAGGAAACTGGCATACACATTCAATAAATGTGTAAGATTGGAGACTATCTCTACAGTAAAAACATAAAGATTTGTTTTTCTATAAGTTTATAAACTAAATGAAATAATAAATACGTCACACAAAAGAAAAGCAAAGACACTGAAATTTGAATGATTACGAAACACAAAGAAAAAGTAAATGCATAAAAAGATGAGAAACAGAGAATAAATAATTTAAGAATAAACTTTTAAAAATAAATAATTAAGAAGTCCCTAAATGACTACAAAATTATGTCTAAAAATAGTTTGTGATGTTTAATGTGGCTAACATTGCTGCAGAATTATATAACTAATATATTTCATGAATGAAGAAAACAACGGTGTTAATTTAAAGCACAAGTTTCTGTTGCTACAGACCACATAAATAGGTTGTAAAAACATTTAAAACATTTAGTTAAAAATAAAATAAAGATTTTGTATTTTAAAAGCCAGTTTTGGGTTAACCTCATCCTATTCATAAAACAAGCTGGCCTGGTTCTGTCAAGCTTTGAACTTAATAGAACTATTTTGCAGCATTCAAGAGTAGATGGTAATGACTTCACGACCTCCACCTCGAACCATAAGAACTCTGTCCAGACCTTCAGTTAAAACTTCTAAAAACTCCATATCTGAAATGGTGGTTAAGTAGGTATGATTTTTACTTTTTAATGTAGCTTATAGAACTAATGTCTTAATAACAAATAATGGGGGAAGGGTAAAATACAAATCAAATACTGTTGGAAAACCAAAAACTATGGCAACAATAACAAACTCAGAAGCATTTTGTGTGTGCACCACAAAAAGAAAGTGAATTAACTTTCACATAAACTATATGTTAACAATTGTACAAAGCTGAGGATAACCAAGAAAGAGGGGAGGTACAGTTATACAGACTAACAACACCATCTAGCTCAATCTTCTAACTATCTATGCTTTGGAATGCACCTCTAGATAATTTTCATCTTAATGTTGAGTTTCCGTAATAAAATCTTAAATATTTAGATTTTTATTTAAAGGCTGTAAATATTTATCATGTTGGAGAGTATATTTTATTTAAAACTTCAATCAATCTGCTAGTTTGCTTTTGGTGAGTGATGTTCTTTAACACCTCTCAAATTCTGTATTATAAAAGATAATAACATTTATGTTTACTTCAAAATAATATAGGTAATAAAGTCTCAAGTAGCAGGGTTTCATTTAAAAAATGATATTTCTACAATGATAAATAACTGATACTGCTAAATGATTTTTAAGTGAGTGTGCATTATACTCTTTAATCATTTACCACCTATGATACAGGACTTTAGCATTATAGCAAACCTGTAATTCTCAGTAACATTCACGTTAAAAAATTATTTTCTGACAATGTAACCACATTCATAAACACCATTTACAATTTACAGTACAATGAACTTGACAAAAACATTAAATCCTCAAATATTAATTCCTGTTAGGTACTGCCATTGTATAATAAGTTATCATATGAAAGTTTTCAAGTTTCTTGCACGTTTTAAAATACACCACACAAAATAATTGGAATGTGTAATATCTTAGCTTTAAAAAATAATACCAATGTAATGTCATTCTCCATTCTCAGTTTTTATGCAAGCAGGTATATGATGATCTGTTACATGACTGGAAATGCAAGTTATTATGCTTGTAAATTAACATTTGGTGGAGGTGGTTTTACATGTGTAATTCATAAATTGTCATGTGTGTTGATTAAATGCACTTGTTGAATGGCTTGGTTTACTGTGTTTCAAAAAACAAACAAAAACTACTGGATGAAATTGTTTGAAACTTGGGATCATCTTTCAGTAGATTATTTAGTTTCTGTAAAATACAATATCTTATATAAATATTTTGTATTTGTACAAATTTTTAGTTTTAGAAATTGGAAAATATTTCTTTATGACTGTTTTTTTAAATGTTTAAATTTTGTTGTAAATTTCAATTACAGATTCTTATGTCTTCCCACATTCTTGTAAAGCTTTCCTATAAAGTTTTTATTTTATAAAACTACAAGTGTTGTCTTTGTATCAATTTGTCAAACATTGTAATTGTGGCAGAAATTGTTAACAAACATTTTTTTCTTTTTCCAGCATATCACCAAGCTAAGCTTTTATCACTTTTTTTTTCTGATCTCAACAAGATTCTCTGTTGAACAGGAAGCCAAGGTGCCTTAAATGGTCGAAAAAATCAGAGAAAAGCTTTTACCAGATGCATAGATCACTAGCCTATGAGTTCTCAAAGCTGAAATATAAGCAATTACATCACATGATGACAACTAAGGTTAAGAAACTTTAATTGGTTAACATTGGATGCATTAAACTAGTATTGAAATCACAAGGTTCAAATTGCTCAAACTGGTGCCATTTTGTTTAAACTATTATGACTTTCTTCCCAAGGAGCTATAAGCACCAAATTAACCCTTTTGCAACAAGAGCCCCTTTAAACACTTTTCTGTACAAGTCAATGTGTTACACTGAAAATTTAATTAAACACCTTTACTATCAATGTATGTGAATGGAATTAACATTATAATGTATGTTATGATTCAAAGTTTTATTTTATCCAGGTCATTTATTTCAAAATAAACTTTTAAAAACAACTTAAACTTCAGGTGTATTGTCACATGACCAACGAGCTACAAACATTCTCTCCTTGGGTTATCTGTATCTTCAATTATAAAATGGTAATAGAGGTACTTCTATACAATAAGATGCTTACATAACCTTTTGACTAGTTCATTTCAAAGTTCTCAGAATTAATACAGTTGAATCAAGTAGTAAATTTTTTCAACCCCTGATAGCTGCCATGCCCACCTTCAACAGATTGGTTTGAGCTTTGTAGCATACATGTATATGTTACATACACATGTGTATAGCCATTAGATAGATTCTTTTACACTATAAACTAACAATGGTTATTTTGAAATTGGTATGCAGTTGTCATCACGAAAGTACATGTAACTGACTGTAGTATTGTTGGCTGCTTGATTGACTATAGCATTTATAGTTGTTTCTTACATAAATATGTTGTAGTTAGAGATATAGTTTAAATTGTATTTAAATCTTACTGTTATATTTTAGATAATTATATATTAGTTATGTTTTAAAATGCATAATTAAAAGGTTGAAACATTTTTTAAACATACAACATACTTTGTGTCCATTCTGAAGGCTTACAATATTATGCACTGAACAAAAAGTTTTACCAAAGTGTTGCACATGTCTCCCAAAGAAACTGTAATATGCCTCCAAAGGCACTGTTGACTTGTGTTGAGATGAATAGGAAGTGGTAAAGAACAAGAAAGGAAAAATAAAACATTAAAAATTAACTATCTGTGAAAAGGAAAAATCCTGAAATTATGAATTTAACAAAAGGAAAATCTTTAAAGATATTCCACAAAAAATGAAAAGGTATGTGTTTTTTTACCTATTTCCTAATTTTAATTATTTCATTGCATTTTATGTTGATTATTATAGCTAGATTTAGTAATATGGTAGAGAAAATGAAAAATAAAATATACAAATTTACCTTAAAAAACTTTTGATATCCTTTTAGGAGGTTCTAGAGATTTGCAAATGAAACATGAAAACTATAAGACGAAGAAAAGTATTTTTATACTTAAAATGAAAATCACCGTGTACTTTATTTGTTAATAGTTTGAGTGCAAGTAACTACAATAGAAAAGTAACACATTTTTTAGTAAAAACAATTATAATAACGTCATTCTTTGTGTACAAGATACTTATAATCTTTAACAAAATCTTACCAGCCTTGAGAGGATACGTTAAAAAATCTCCGAGTTACCACATGTATTATTGTACCAGTGAAATTCATGACTTGATTTCCATAAATTGCAGGAGCTTGGTCAGAAAAAAATGAGGAGGTTCACAAACACTAATTTTATCATTCAGAGCATGCTGAAATTAACCCAAAATCAGAATCTGACTTTTTTTTACATTGTGATATACAAAATTATTGAATAAATTTCAACTCTGAAGTATTATAAAAAATATGTGGAATAAAGAAATACATGTTTATTTTCTATAATCTTTTTAATTAAGTGGTGTGATTTTGCACTTAAAGGTGGATGGACCCAGCTTGGTGGCAAAGAGATAATTTTCATGACATTTCACTTTAATATGGAGCATGGTAACCATAAGTAAAAAGGGCAGCTTCACTCCAATGTTAGAAGCTTAAAATTAAAGTGTTGGTAAAGTCCCAAGAAATCTTTGACTACTCCCATGAAAAAAATATTTCCAGTCATTTTTAGTGTCTAGACTCACCTATCAAGATGTGATGAATATCCTAACAGCATACTTTATATAATTGATGTGACTGAAATTTGATGAAGTCAAACCCAACTTTAACCCTTTAAGGATGACACATTTTTAAATTCCTTTCTGCACATGTTACCAAGTTACATTCCAAATTTAATTAAACATTTTTACTATTCACATATGTCAATGAAATTAACATTATAATTCGAAGTTTTATGTCATCTAAGTTTTAATTCCTTTGTTTCAAAAGAAATCTTGAAAAACAACAACACTTAAACATCAATTTTGTTGTCACGTGACCCACAAGCTATGAAAATCTCAACTTTTGGACTCTCTATCTTGAATCAGATAACGCTCGTCTTGTTGATGTATGTCTATACAATAAGTACGTTTACTTCTTCTGTTGACACACAAGATTCATAGTTCTTTGGCTAAATCGAAACAAGTAATAAATTTTACCAACCTTTAACAGGTGCCACACCCACCGTCTATATTTAGCCTTGATATTTATAAACCACATGTACTTATTGACACACATTTATAATCATTAGGAAAAGCTCATTTTACACTATAATCCACCAATAGTTATTTTGAAGTTGGCAAGCAGTTGTCATCATTGGGTAGATGTAACTGCTTGTAATATTGTTGGCTGCTTGATACACAATAGCATTTATGGTTGTTTCTTACCTAAATATGTTATAGTTAGAGAGACAGTTAAATTGTATTTAGGTCTGACTTTTATATTTTAGTTAATTGTGTATTATTTGTTTTAAAATTCATATTTGAAAAATATAATGATTTTTAATAGTATTCTGAGCTTCGCCTCACTCAAGTCTTTCCTAACTAGGCGAGCGCAAAATACTTTGCCGGAGGCTAAACTGTCTCTTATAATGATAATGATATATTGCCCATGCCACCCGTTGACATGTGTCAACATAAATAATCTTAGATAAAGAACAGGAAAGAAAAATCAAACATTAAAAATAAAGTATAAGTGAAAAGGTAAAGATGTGAAATTATGCATAAGACCCAAAGAAGATATTTTAAGATTATTCAATGAAGAGATAAAAGGTATATACATATTTCTATTTCATAATTCTAAACATTTCATTGCACTGTATGTTGATGGAAACATACCAGATGGTAGAAATTTGGAGGAATTAGACAGAAAGAAGACTGATGTGGCATCTACAGTCACCACAAGAGTCAAGGGAAAAAAGAACAAGCAAGATATCAAGCCTCTTTAAGTCTCAAAAAGTGACATCCTGAATATAATTCCATGGGAGCTTAAGTATGTGCAGAAGAAAGACCCTTCTCTGCAGAAACTTCAAAGCAGTGCC